CCAATGGCAGCAGCGGCAGCTAACTCTTCCAGGGAGCCTCGACATGAACAGTCCTCTCACAGCTTCTCACTCACCAAAGACGCAGATTTATTACAGCACAGAGACATCAGGCCACTTGCCAAGAGTCACACAGCCTGTGCACAGCAGGCAGGGGATTCGGATTAAAGAACCGAATTCTGAAAGTGCTGTTCTAGGGAAGCACCCAAAGCTGCCCCCACATAGGTCAGATCTGCAGATCACAGGGAGGAACCCCTCAGACGAGCCCACACTAAAGGACCGTCTACACTACCACGTTCATCAGAGAGAGGAAAACTAAGCAACAGCAAGTGTGGACAAGCCTAAATGATGTCTAAGTGTCACATGAAGTCCGAGACGGGCTCCTGGGACAGAAAGCGGATGTTAGGTAAAGACCAAGGAGATCCAAATAAAATGTACATTTTGCTTAATAATGATATATTAGTTAGTTTATTGCTTCTCACGAATTTATCATGTGACTGATGTGAGATGGTAATTGGGTATGATCGTATACTGGAAACTTCTGTATTTCTGTGCGTATATTTCTGTGTGTATATTTCTAAATCTAAAATAAACAAGCAGTGTGCTTTTTTTTTTTTTTGAGAGTGTTTGCTATAGGGCATGTGTGTTTAGAGCGACAGAGACAGAGAGACAGAAAGTGAGAAATCAACCCCGAGTGGGGATGGCCATGCTGCAATCCCCTCTCCTCCATTCTCCTCTCAGAATTTTGGGCACACACACATTCCTGGTGAGTTTCAAGCCACCAGGTCTGGGACTTGAACCGCAGTAGACCATGTGGGAGTCCACTGCATTAACCACTAGGTCACCTGATGCCCAACAGTGTACTTTCTAAAAAGGCATTCTCTTTCATTAGTTTAGTAGTTTTTAAAAGGTCTTAAGAATTTTAATATGCGTATTACTTAGACAGGCATACTGTTAAAATGCAGAATGTATTTAGGCTCTGAGGAAGTACCTGAAGTTCTGCATTTCCAATACACGCCCAGGTGTTGGTGACGATGCCAGTAGCTGGACCACACTCTAAATGGTTTTAAAACACATGGTGAGGGTCAGCAGGTGGCCGGATCCCACATGGCCAACTAAGTGGTTTGAGTCCCATACCCAGAGGCCTGGAAAACACAGGTGGATGTGTGTGCATGCCCGAAATCCCAAGAGGGAAACAGAGCAGAGGACTGCGGTGTGGCCACTCCCTCCCCCAGGGGTGATTTCTCACTTTCCTTCCTTCGCTCTCTCTCTGGTGAGCACATGTGCCCTAGAGCAAAAACGTAAATAAAAAAATAAAAACACAAAACAAATAAACCACACCGAGTGGCGATGTCAGATGTGTTTAGTTCAACTGCATATATTTAATGGGTTATCTCCAAGCAGCAATATTCTTTACAGAGTGATCTCCTAGGCAACACTTCTGTTAGAAAACCCAGAAGGACTATTCACCAAAGCACAGAAATATTTGAAAATAGTTGTCATTTCAGGGAAAAATACAATGTCTTGGAATTAAGTTCTGGAGAGAAATGCTCCCCCCCGTTTATGGAACCCATCCCCATGTGCGTGCATGCATGTGGGCACATGTGGGCGTGTGTGTGCATGTGTCTACACACATGTACATGTGCTTGCTCTTAAACCATTGCATAAAAGAGATCGTGTGTGTGTGTGCCCAAGATGCTGAGAGCAGAACGGAGGAGAAGGGACTGTGGCATGGCCATTTCTACTGGAGGGGGTGGTTTTGCTTTCTGTCTCTGTTTCTGTCTCTGTCTCCCTCTCTCTGGCAAACAGACATGCTCTATAGCAAAAATCAAAAAAAAAAAAGAAGGAACTAAGAGAAAATATTGTCAACTTATTTTTTAATAATTTTGTGCAGAGCATTATTCACAATTGCCAAGACATGGAACCAACCTACATGTCCACAAACTGATGAATGGATTGGAAAAGTGTGGTATATATACTCTATGGAATCCTACTCAGCCATAAAAAATAACAAGTCCCTGGCATTTGATAGAAAGTGGTCAGATAGGGAGGATCTATTGCTGAGCGAAGTAAGCCAGGCTATGAAAGAAAGATATTGTACGTATCCACTCAATATATACCGACTATCTGCACTCTATGGTAGAGAGTGAAAAATCGGAGGACATAAAAGCAGTGAAGGTACTTAATGAGAATAGGACAGTGTGGAATGGGGGAGGAGAAGAGAAGAGGATAGAGAAAGATAGCAAGAGAACAATAGAGAGGCAGGATGTTAATGAGAAATAGATATGGTTTATTACCTGTTGATGATGACATGTATAGTATTCTCAACTGGATTGGTCTGAGAAGTATTTCAGGATGGGTAAAGTCTTTTTATAGGCAAAATGAGAAATAGAGACTGACTGTTTTAAAAAATAATTAGAATAATAATAATAATAATTGGGAAAATCATAGAAAAGATATAGAATGCTAAAGTGGGGAGATTAATGTCTCTGAACTGACTGACATGCATGGCATTCCCTTTTGAAAAAGCAATGTAATACACTGTAAAGTGATATGTAATCCAATATAATATAAAGAAGATTATGATGATAATAAAAATAAAAATTAAAAAAAATAATCATTTTGTGCAGTGGATGTCTGAGTTTGACACTACTGGCCGGAATCACAATATTCATAAAAATTAACAAATGCATTTAGTAAAAATATAAAATTTTGCTAAGAGACACGCCAAGCAAATTTAAACTCTGTGACAGGCAGTATTCTAAAACAACTCCCATAGTTTCTGTTCCCTGGTACATTCACCTTATACATATGACGTGGTCTCAGTACTGTACTTAAATTATGCAATATGGCACAGAGGGAGGGAATTTTTTCTTAGGCTTTTGCCATAGGGAACACGTGCTTGTTAGAGAGAGACAGTGAGAGGGAAAGTAAGAAATCACTCCTCCAGGGGGAATGACTACACCACCATACTACACCACCATCCCGTCTCCTCATTCTCCTCCTGGAATTGCGGGCGCATGCCTGGTGTGACCCTACTGCTTAAACTGCAGTGGGCCATACAGAAGTTCAGTGCCTTCACCACCACACCTCCTGTTGGCCCACGAGGTGGAGGGATGCTGCAGGTGCAGGCAAGTCTCTGATCCGTTGACTTTGAGCTAACCTGAGAGACTACCCCAGGAGGACCTGGCCACATTGGGTCAGTCCTTTAAGAAGGGTCAGGACTGCCCTGAAGTCAGATCACAGTGAGAAGGACCCTGCTGCCGGCCGCGAAGGGGAGACTGCCATGCAGTGGAGAGGACACGCAGCAGGGAGCCGCGGGTGACCTCGAGGAGCGGCCAGTGGTCCCAGGATGACAGCCAGCAAGAGCGGGAACCTGGGTCCTACAACCTCCAGTCTGAGTTCTGCCAAACGCCAGTGAGCTAGGACGAGGGAGGGAGCAGACCGGGAGGACATCACAGCGCGCTCTGGCAAGTTCAGCCTGGTGAGCACCTGCGCAGGGGCAGCCCTGTCCTGCTCCCAGACGCCCAGAGACGTGCGCTGTGTCCTGTCAACCTACTGCGCGTGTGGGGTGAGTTACGCAGCAGTGGGAAACGAACGCAAGAAAACGCCTGCCCCGCGGAGCGGGCCAACATCACGGCAGGGCTGACACTCGGGCCGTCCCACGGCTGGTCTAGTAGCTGCATGGGTGAAGACGGACACGGGACACAGACACCTGGGGCAAGCCACCGAACGTCACCCCTGCCCCTAACAGAAAAAGCTCTCATGGATGAGCAAGAACAAACGTACCCATGGCTGGGTCCACGGCCTGGTGGCTAAGACAGCCAGGCCCCACGTGGATAGCTACATGGCTGGAGTCCTCGACTCGGTGGCTCGGAAACACACTGGGTGTGTGCGCGTGTGCAAGCCCCAACCGGGGGAAAAGTGGGTGAGAAGGGACTGTGATAAGGCCATGCCCCATAGAGGATGCTGTCTCCTCTCCCTCTCTCTGCCTCTCTGTCTCTGGAGAGCATCTCTACCCTCTAGCCAAAAAAAAATAGAAAAATAGGACAAGAATGAAACCAGCGTATCAGACACTCAGATGCCAATAAACGTATACAAAAGTCATGTCATTACTTGTCGGAGATAAATCAAGACAACGAGGTGCCTTCCGTGCCTATGAAGACTGAGCAGTTAACCTCACTCCATTTTGGCCGAGTGTGAAATATAGGCATGGCTTTTTTAGATTGTAGAAATGTCAATTAGTATGATCATATTAGGGGAAGATATATCTTAAAAATAACTGCAGAAATACATATGCAAAGATGGGTACTGCATGCTAAATTTTCTTTTATTTATGACATCATTTAAAAAAAAGTTTTGGAGAAGTTTTAGCTATAGGGCACATGCGCTCACTAGAGAGAGAGACAGAGAGACAGAAAGCAAGAAATCACCCCCCAGGGGGGATGGCCATCCCTTCTCCTCCATTCTCCTCTTAGGATCTTTGGAATTATTTTCACAGTATTTATCAGACGGATGGTCTACAGCTTCATCCGATTCTCAGGGGTGGGACCAGCAGATGGCGTAATGGTTATGTCACTGAACTCTCATATGGCCGATTGTAGTTCAAGTCCTGAACCCAGTGGCTTCAAACTCATGCCAGGTGTGTGTGTGTGTGTGCCCAAAATCCCAAGAAAAGAATGGAGAAGAGGAGACTGCTGTGTGGCCATCGCCCTCCAGGGAGGGTGATTTCTCACTTTCTGTCTCTCTCTCTCTGTGTCTCTCCAGTGAGCACATGGGAGAGACACAGACAGAGAGAAAAAAAATATCTCTCTCAGAAAAAAAGAGTCTCTAGGGGACTGTCACTGTCATGTCCCTTACCCCTGCCTTCCACTCCTACCTTCCACCTTTTTTTGAGAGATTTTTGCTATAGGACATGTGCACTTGCTGGAGAGAGAGAGAGAGACAGAGAAAGAGAGAGAGAGAGAAAGCGGGGTGGGGTGGGGGGGGAGGATGGCTACACTGCAGTCCCCTCTCCTCCTGGGATTTGGGCATGACACACTTGGGCTCAGTGTGAGTTTCAAGTCACCGGGTATAGGAATTGAACTGCAATCAGCCACGTGGGATCCAAGGCCTTAACCGCCACACCACCTGCTGGCTCTTCACTTAAAAAAAAAAAAAAAAAAGGCACAGCCGTAAACTTAACTTTGACCCACTAACTGCTGAAGGGACAATGTGGATGAGGTAAGCACCCTCACTTAAATAGAGCACCTTCATGCCAGAATGACCGGGTAGGTAAGTGATTACAGAGAAAGACCCACGTTCCAGTCGGTTTGCCTAGAAACCCCGCACTCACCATTTTCTTCATGACAATAATCAAATCCGGCCACACTGCATCTTCGAAAAACCATCTTATTCTCAGTGAGGGTTCCCGTCTTGTCAGAAAAGAGGTACTGGATCTGTCCAAGGTCTTCGGTGATGTTCAGGGCTCGGCACTGCACAGTAGAATCCGTTTTCTCATTGTAAAAGTCCACGTCGCTTTGAATGAAATATATTTGGCCAAGCTTCACGATTTCGATAGAAACGTAGAGAGAAATGGGAATCAAGACCTAAGAAAATTGAAGCAATTTTTTAAAACATGTTAAAGTAGGTTTAAAACGGAATAAAAACTGCACATAGCTGATAAAGAGCAAAGACCTTAAAACTCTATGATAAGCTTCATAAAAATTACCTGTAACAAAATGATCATGGTCCAAAACATATAGAACCCTGCCAGCACCGGGGACAGGACATGGCCATCGGGCTCCGGGATATTAAGAAAGAGCACGTTTTCGTATTTGCTCAACCAGATTCCGTGACCTTGCGAAAGAGACAGATGTCAAAGGATGCTAATATACACTAGGCAAATACAGGACTTTATTCCTAAAGGAGGAGGGATTGAGACGCTCATTTTGGTGGGACATCAATGATTTGTCTTAGGAAACAAATTACTGGGTCATCAGGAAAATTTTACATAGAAAAATACATCATGACTTTCCAAACGACCTAATAAAATTCTAAAGAACAATTACGTGTTCTCCTGCCCCCATCTTTCTCTCTTTTCAAATCTCTCACAAGGTGCAGTTTCTGGTTCGTGTCTGGAGACTTCCCTGAGTACACCGGACAGGTACACATCCATGCCTCTGGCTGGTTGAAGCTGGGGGTGGATCGCAGGGCTGAGGCTCTGTCAGGAGTGTCGTAAGACGGTCTCTGTCTCTCTCTTCTTCACTCTCTCTCACTCGTGGGATAAATAAATAAACTTCAGAAAGATCTCTTCCCGGGGACCAGCAGTTAGCGTAATGGCTATGTCGCTGAACTCCCATGTAGCCAACTGTGGTTCGAGTCCCGGACCTGGTGGCTTAAACTCACGCCGGGCATGTGTGTATGCGTGCCCACGATCCCGAGAAGAGAATGGAGGAGAAGGGATTATGGCATGGCCGTCCTCCCAGGGGGTGATTTTTTGCTTTCTATCTCTCTGTCTCTGTCTTTCTGGCAAGCACACATACCCTATGGCAAAAACATCTCCAAAAAAAGAAAGATCTCTTCCTCTTCCTAGTCCTTCAGTGCTGGGGCAAAGTGGATACAGTTAACATCAGTGTTTTCAGGCCAGAGGATGGGAACAATAAAGATGTGAGGGAAAAAAATTATAGACAAATAAAAACTCCCTTAGAGAGGCCAAACATTCATAAATTTTGAAATGAAATGAATGATCCTCTTGCTGAAGAGATGCCAGAAATGACGCAGGTGACCTACCCAGTGCGCCAGTGAGACACATCGTGAGCAGCAGCAGGACACACCAGAGCACGTCGGTGTTGGCTCTTCGCTCCAACTTGCTGCGCTTGTACCGGGGGCCGCTGTTGTTCAGCATGGCTTTGGTCTCGTGGCCTGCAAAGAAACCCAGCGAGTCAGGAAATGTACGTGTTCAAGCCAGCGAGCAGACACAGGTAAAACTCTCTCTGGCAGACAACGCAATAAAAGGTAGTTTACATAATATACTTTGTCACCTCTGTCTGCTTTTGTGATCCACAGAGACCCATCATCAGGATTCTCAAGACAAAGGGCCCTTTCTGCTTCGTAGAGCGCATTGTGAGGAAGCATACAATGTCAGCTGTGGAACGGCGCAGAAGAGACAGTGACAGGGACCAGCAACGAAACCAACCTGCGTACACCACGATGCCCACGACAGCCTCCGTGTTCCTAATGGCACATCCTCTAAGCAGCAAATTCTCTTTACCGAGACCCACGCGTTCTTTGTTGGAATGTTCTCTATAAGAAAGACAGCATACACATTTATTTAAAAGAGCAAAAATGGAAATACAAAAATAAAAACCATGGTCCTTGAGTGTTTTTGACTTAAGATTATAAATTATACATGTCATAGGAGAGATTTCAAATCTCTGGACTATTTGCTTTTATTATTTAAGTCTCCTGCTTCGGGTGGAGAAAGATGCAACAAGTTTTTTTAAAAAAATATTTACTTTAATTATTTATTTATTATTATTATTATTATTATTATTCCTTAATTTGGCCAGAGGGAGAGGGAACGTGAGAAAAGAAGCCACCAGGTCCGAGACTTGAACTGTGCTCAGCCATGTGGGCACCTTAACCACCACGCCACCTACTGGCCCCAAGATGCAACAAGTTTCTACCTACCACTGTTTTCTGTTGGTTATTCTATGGAAACCAACAGTATTGCAAATAAGGATCCTGCTTTTCTAGTACAAACTGTAATTTGAATAACAGGAGTTGATGAAAGTAGTTTGATGGAATTAGGAGAGTAACATTTTGGATCTGGATGAACTAAAAAAATCACCCTAGGATATAACTGACAGCTGCTGAAGTCATTAGGAGAAAGAGTGGTGGGGAGCATTCTTATTTGGTGACTTTTGTAGATTTCATCGGGATGTCCATAAAACCAATATACCGTCTGTGACTAAAATACAATCCTGCTTTTCTCTTTCTTATTTGGTGACGTTTGTTTCCTTTTCTGGTCTTAATGCATTAGCTAGAACTCCCAGTGCAATCTCGAATACAAGCAGTGGGAACAAACATCTAAGCATTGTTCCTGACCTTAGAGGAAACGCATTTAGTCTTTCACCATTGGGTATAACGTCAGCTGTAGTTTTGTCACAGCTAGTCTTTATCGGGTTGAGAAAGTTTCCTTACATTTCTAGCTTGTGGGAATAGAAGTTAGATTTTGTCAAAAGCTTTTTCTACATCTATGAGATAATCACCTGGTTTTTCTTTTTCTTTTTTTTTTAAATGCAATTTGTTAATATAGTGTTAATAAGGGTGAAATACTTTAATTTTTCAACTGTTAAATCAAGCTCACATTTTCGGGATTAGTTCCACTGGGTCAAATACGTTGCCTTTTTTAAATATAAATTGTTAGCTTTGATTTGCTACAATGTTATGTAGAAAATCTGCACCTATGCTCTTGAGAGATATTAATCTTTCCTTAAATGTCTCTGTGTGCTTTTGCTATCAGGATACTGGTGTCAGGTTAATTCTGGTCCAAAAATGAGCTCTGAACTTTTCTATTCCCACAACGTACACTAAGCAGATGATCTGTCTCCTCGTAAAAATCAAAAACTGGGGCCGGCAGGTGGCGTGGTGGTTAAGGGTGCTGGACTCCTACAAGGCTGACTATGGTTTGAGTCCCAGATCTGGTGGCTTGCTTTCTCACTTTCCCTCTCTCTCTCTCTCTCTCTGTCCCTCTCCGGTCACATCAAAATAAATTAATAAATAAAGTTAAATAAAACAATTCTTTAAAAAGAAAAAACAAAGGTCATAAAGACTTACGTGGCAGCAACTGAGTCTGAAATTGGGCAAAAATCTCAAATTCTGGCAGTTCTTGGTAAAGGGAAGGGGGTGCCACAAGAAGCTGTCATGGCTTCCCACATGCGTGCTTACGTGTTCCCAAAGCACCGGCTAACTTGTGCCCACCAGATCTGCCTGCTTCCTACTCTGGATTCTGCGGAATGACGTCATCCTGTCACGTCACTTAAGCTCCAGTTCTCTGCAGACGCCTCCTTGCAAACAACTAGCATGCGTTGGCCTTGATGTGGCGCTTCCGTAAGCTCTTCTTGCACCGCTGAAATAGTTCAGGCTTATTTCAACAATAAGCTTTTGAGGGACCAGCAGTTAGAGTAATGGCTATGTCGCTGGACTCCCATGTAGTCGACCACGGTTCGCGTCCTGGACCCGGTGGCTTAAAACTCATGCTGGGTGTGTGTGCGTGCATGCCCAAGATCCTGAGAGGAGGATGGAGGAGAAGGGATTGCGGTGTGGTCATCCCTCCTGAGGTGATTTCTCGCTTTCTATCTCTCTGTCTCTCTCTGTCTGTCTGGCGAGCGCACGTGCCCTATAGCAAAAACCTCTCAAAAAAAAAAAAAAAAAAAAAAAAGAACAAGCTTTTGTTGCTGTTGTTTTAAATATATACTTACCAGATTATTAAAATAAGTCACATTTATAGGCAGCTAAGCTTATGGTCTTTAGAGATTTAACTTGGGTTTATGTATACAAAGCTTGACTGAATTAAGCACAATTTCAGCCGCACCCACAAAGGCAAGTCGCGTTTCACTCACAGGAAGCCGCGGAATCTGTTCAGGTCGTTGTTTGGACTTTCACATTCTATTCTACTGGAGAACTGCTCAGGGTCGACTTCAGAGTCCTGAAAATACGTGTGAAAATCACAGAATGAGAGTTTAAGTAGTTTAAGCTCTTGATACAATTTGTCACTGTCACCAATTCTGAAGGTACAATATGGCTGTTTCACCACAAAGTTTATATAATAAAGTTCCCAGATGAAGACAGGTACAGGCACAATTGTGAGATCCATAGTGGGATCGGAATGGTCTTTCTGGAGCACTAACAAATGACTGAAGGTGACGGGAGTGTCTGTGTCATTCTGCACAAGAGAGCGCCCACTAACATCGCTCCATCAACGACACACCGGAAACAAACTCTTGTTGTTGGTCTTTAACCGTATAGATAGTTTCTGAGATTAAATGTATATGTGCACACACAGGGTCCATTTTTTTTTTTTTGAGAGGTTTTTGTTTTAGGACTCATGCGCTCTCCAGAAAGATAGACAGAGACAGAGAGACAGAAAGCGAGAAATCACCCCCCAGGGGTATGGCCACGTTGCAATCCCTTCTCCTCCATTCTCCTCTCGGGATCTTGGGCCTGCACGCACATGCGCCCGGGGTTAATTTAAGCCACCGGGTCCAGGACTCGAACCACAGTAGACTACGTGGGAGTCCAGTGACATAACCATTACGCTAACTGCTGGTCCCTAGAGTCTATATATATATATATATATATATATATATATATATATCTTTTTTTTTGGGGGATAGCCATGCCACAATCCCTTCTCCTCCATTCTCCTCTCGGGATCTTGGGCACGCACGCACACACACCCGGCGTGAGGTTAAGCCACCGGGTCTGGGACTCGAACCACAGTCGACTACGTGGGAGTCCAGCGACATAGCCATTATGCTAACTGCTGGTCCCTAGAGTCCATATAGTTTTGATCTTGGTCAAATTTTATCTATAAAAAATTAGAAACAAACTGGACATTGGTATTTTACAAAATTCTCTAATGGATCAAATATAATTTTAGAATGCTTTATGAAACCAACGAGTGAACAGTCAAAGGACTTTTATAGAACACAACTGGATAAGGTATGTATTGACGAAGAACAAGTCACACCAGCCTGACTTCACTCCCTTCTCTCGGTATGGCTTCATGGCTAACAGGACAAATGACAGGACACTGACACATCTCCCCATAGGAGAGAGTTCCACGATGAAAGTATAAACACTGATCAAAGAAACTGAGCAGGATGGGGGCCAGAGAATGGAGCAGCAGTGAAATAGGATGCTCTGTGAGCTGACCCCAGGGGAGGGTTCCAAGTCCACGTCAGAGACTGCCCTGAGTATGACGGGACCTGTGTGCTCATAAACTGGGACGCCCAAAAGCTGGGGAGTGCTTTGCGGCATCAGGGCCCTGTTGTGGGTGCTCAGTGTCTCTCTTTCTGACTCTCTTCCTCACAAAAGAATTTAACTTAAAAAGAAATTTAAGGTACACACACAAAAATGGAAAGTTATTCCATGTTCATGAAAGAATCTACATTGCTAAAATGTTGACACTACTACCAAAGCGATCTACAGGGTAAATATCAAAATACCAACAGTATTCTTCACAGAAATGGAAAAACACTTCTATGATTTGGAAGAAATTACAGAATATCCCAAATAGCCAAAGTAAACCTGTGCAAAAAGAACAAAGACGGAAGAACCACACTATGAGACTTCAAAATATAACATTACAACCATAAGAACCCGAAACGGAATAGTACACACAGAAACACACACATAAGCCAAAGGAATAGAACAGGAAGCCTGGAAATAAATGCACACTACACAGCCAGCTGATGTTCGACAAAGGTCTCAAGAACATTCAGTGGAGAAAGGACCCTGTCTTCAGTAAATTACATATCTCACAAGAGAAGAAGAATGAGGAACTCTGTTTACAAGCCAAATGGTCATCATTATCATCCAATTCTAACAGGCAGTTCTTGGAAAAACACAAATGGCCAACACAGGAAATATTTTCAACATTTAATCATCAGAGAAATGCTATTTGCTGGGTAAATCATTCCAATACTTTATCGGTTTCTTCATTTTAAAATGAAAATAATGGGGATCTAGCAGGTGCATAGTGATTAAGGCACTGGACTCCAACATGGCCACCACAGTTCAAGTTCTGGACCTGGTGGGCTGGCTTGCTTGTGTGCTCTCTCTCTCTCTTCCTTTCTTCCTTTCAATTTGACCAGAGAAGGATAGAGCGAGAGAGAGAAAGAGGGAAAGTGAGAAAGCAAACTACTAGGTCCGGGACTTGAACTGCAGTCGGCCATGTGGGAGTCCAGTGCCTTTAATCACCACACCACCTGCCAGCCCCGATTTTCTATAATAATCATTCTAACTGGAGTGAATATCCCATTGTGGTTTTGATTTTCATTTCTTTGATGATTAGTGATGTTGAACATATTTTCATGTGCTTGCTTATTTTCCATTTTTATTTGGGCTATTTGTTTTTTGTTGGTAAACTGACTTCCTTATATATTCTGGTTACGAATTCCTTGTCAGTTGTATACATTGGCAATATTTTCTCCCATTCTGTAGGTTGTATCTTCATTCTGGTGATTGTCTCCTCGGCCATACAGAAAGATTTTAATTTGATGTAGTCTTATTTGCCTACTTTTACTGCTGTGTGGCCTTTGCTTTTGAGGTTTTATTTTATTTATTTATTTTTCTTAGAGAGGCTTTTACTATAGGGAACATGTGCTCACTGGAGAGACAGAAAGAGAGAGAAACAGAAAGCGAGAAATCCCCTCCCCCTCCCCAGGGTGTATGGACACACTGCAATCCCTTCTCCTCCATTCTCCTCTCAGGATCTTGGGCATGCACATTACCCGGCATGAGCATGACACTGCCAGGTTTGGAACTTGAGCCACAGTCAACTACGTGGGAGTCCAGCAATGTAACCATTATGCCATCTGCTGATCCCTTGAGGTCTTATTTTAAAAACATTTGCCTAGACCAGTGTCTTGCAGTGCTTCCCCTATGTTTTCTTTTTTTAAAAGATTTTTTGCCATAGGGTGCATGTGCTTGCTGGAGAGAGACGGATACAGAGAGAAGGAAAGAGAGCAATTAACCCTTAGGAGGATGGCCATGCTGCAATCCCTCCTCTTTTATTCTCCTCTAAGGACTTTGGGCATGCATGCACACACACCCAGCATATTTTTCAAGCCACCATTTCCAGAACTTAAACCATGGAGTTGGCCATGTGGATTTGGCATCTTAATCACCATGTTATTTGCTGGCCTCTCCTCTAGAAATTTTATTGTTTTAGGTATTGGATTTAAGTCTTGATCCACTTTTGTTAATGTTTTATATGGTGAAAGATAGAGATCTAGTTTCATACTTTTACATATGGATGTCCAATTTTCTCAGCAAATTTTTTCAAAGAGACCGACCTTCTTACTGAATGTTCTTGTACATCAAATTAATTATTGACATTAATTAATGACAGAGCCAGGATTCTTTAAATTTCATTTCAATATAACTTCAAAGTTCTCATTTCCCTTAGCACAGCATGACAAAAGGTCTAGAAGCTATGTGGCACAATGGGCTACAAAAACCTTAAAAAGCTTCGGTACACAAGTAATTACATATTTTAGGAACAATGACCAACAGAACATAAAATATAAAACCCAAGCTTAAGAAAAGAGATTAGCAGGCAATAATTTCTATTACAAAATAATTTTTTAATTGCAAAATAATTGCTAGGTTTCCTCAGTTAAGTTTAAAAAAAAAAATACGATTGCCATATGGAAGTGTCTGAACTCCAAAGTCATTTTACCCTAGTATCTGTAAAACATAATCCATTCCAGATGTACTCCGTCACATCTGGAAATGAATGAAACCTTCTGGAATTCTATTCTGTCAATGGTAAACATGAATTTAAAAATGCCTTTATCTGTACTGTGCCAATAAGCACAACTGTTTTCTGGAAACAAGAGAAAAGGTAATGAATCAACAACTGAGAACACATTATTTACCTGCTCTGCGTAGCCCCGAACCACCTGCCTCTGTTTTAAATTGCTCTCTCCGTCAAGACCAGAAGTCTCAATATGACAGATTCCATCCGGGTCAGTGGAGAAGAGTAAGACCATGTCTGCAGGGATGACCTCATTACAGGAGAGGCGAATGAAGTCCCCAACGGTCACATCTTTCCAGCATCGGTCAACATACTGCTTTTCTTTTCTAAAATGGAAAGTAAGTCCCAAAAGAATATTAAGCTGCAAACACACATAATAATCAAAGAAAAAGTGAGCATATAATTTAAAGTATGATTAAAGTCCAAGTTCTTGGAAAAGGCGTTTCATGAAGAGATTGGGCCAGTTCTGTAGTCAGTGGTTAAAAGGAACTGAATCCCATATGGCTGAATATGGTATGAATCCCAGACCTTGTGGCTTGAAAAATGTGCTCTGTGTGTGTGTGTGTGTGTGTGTGTGTGTGTGTGTGTGTGTACGCGTGCCCTAAATTCGAACAGGATGGAGAAATGACAACAAATTGTGAGGTGACTACACCCCATTGGGGGTGCTTTCTTCCTATTCCTCTCTTGCGTCTCTACATCTCTCTCTGACAAGAGCACATACCCTAGGTGATTTAAAAATATTTTTAAATAAAAAAGAACTATACATGGATTTCAAAATTATTTGCATCAAAATAAATTTGTACTTTAATTTCATTTGTCTACAAGCTGTTTGAAGTTCCCTCATATTAGGGTGAATTTCAGTCTATTAAATGCTAAAAGGGAAGGCACAGAATTGACAAAACTTAAATGTTGCAAGTGCTGCCCCTGAAAATGCAGTACTAAGCCACTAAAACATACTTTTCAGTTTCTATCTTATCTGGGAGATTTTGAAGCAGTATGCTATTTGAGCGTAATTCTAGAATAAAATTGAAATGAACATTTGCTGGGTTTATTCACGTACAAAGCAGTCCCCGTATGCTGTTCTGTGGTCAGGAACCGAGGACCTGGAAGTGCCCAGGACACGCCGTCCTGCCTCAGGGAGCTTCAGGTCAAGCAGGTGGGGAAAACCCCAAACCAATGAAACCAAACGGCTCAGATACAACATTTAAAAAACCATTAGTCTCCATACCCCATCTCTAATTACCATTGAATAAAAATATTGCTAAAAAGAGTCTTCATCTGTCACGGCTGACCCCAAGAAAGCATTTTATCCCTTTCCAAAGTGTAGCTTTCCCATTGCGTATATCTTTTTAAAGAAAGGACAGATCTTTGATATCGACTCATCTTAAGAACCCTGTTTTACATATATTAAAGCCTTGTGAAACTTCCCACACCTTTTCAAACAAACAGGATTCACTATGCTCCATGAGACATGTTCCTGAAATTAGAATGAGGATGTTTGTATGGTACAATGTCATATCAGCTTAATAAGGAGCATGTCACATATAACACCACCAACAAATGTTAGAAAGGTGTGTCCCATTCCCTTACTGGCTCCAAAATATCTATGAAAAATTGGGACCAGCAGTTAACATAATGGCTATGTTGCTGAACTCCCATGTAGTCGACTGCAGTTCGAGTTCTGGATCCGGTGGCTTAAACTCATGCTGGGTGTGTGTGTGTGTGTGTTGGTGTCCAAGATCCCAAGAGGAGAATGGAGGAGAAGGGACTGTGGTGTGGCCATCCCCCCTGGGGGGTGATTTCTCGCTTTCTATCTCGCTGTCTTTCTGGTGAGTGCACGCGCCCTATAGCAAAAACCTCTCCAAAAAAAAAAAAAAAAAACCCAAAACAAAAACAAACCTGATCTCTCTCTCTCTCTCTCTCTCACACACACACACACACACACACACACACACATGCATACATGCATACACAACATTTTTTAGTTTTAATTGCCAGGTATGTGTGCACTCACCAGAGAGATGGGGGAGGGGGGCTTCAATGGGGCAGGCATGCCACAACCCCTCTCCTCTATTTCTCCATCCTGTTGGGATCTTGGGCACAAGTGCAGAGGCACCCAGTGTGTTTTTCAAGCTATAGGGCTGAGACTGGAACTCTGGTCAGACATATAAGATCCAGCCCCCTGGACCATTAGGCTATGGGGTTGGTCCAAAATATACTTACTTTAAAAATGAAGTTGTTATTTTCTACCTTATTTATCAAGTTAAATATTCAAATTCCTTGTCAATGAATCCTGGGAGAAAGCTATTTTCTAAGTAATATGACCTGAATATTAAACTTCATTAGTTTATCAGATTAGGAATACTATCTTAGACCAATATGTTTATAATTTTTTCTATACAAAATTGTATCAGCTATTTGAAGAAATGTTTATCTTAAAGGACTCCTTAAAAGTGAAGTTTTAGAACATAGCTACCAAAATACCTAGTGCGTGGTGTTGGATCCAACTTAAGGAAGTCCTTGGCTATGTGAAGAGTCTGTTAGTCAATGCAGAAAGGCTACTGGGTGGTTTATCTTGTCTTCACAAGCAATTCCCTAGTGCCGTGCACAGCAGCTCCTTCTTCCACCGAAGGAGGTGACGGAGAAGACACACAGGGTGGGTGGGGTGGTTTGACGGTTCAGCCCTACATGTCACACCTGGGAGTAGGAATTCATTCCATAGAAAGTGGGGAGTTGCTGAAAGTCCACAGAAGGATGCAATCCTACTCTGTTAGCCAACTCCAGCGACAGAGCACAGATGGGCCGTTAGGTGACAGGCTAGTTAGGAGGAGAAACAGTCAAGAGTCCATGGGAAATTACTGGAATCATTCAGGGAAGAAATAAAGATGCCCGGAGTTAAAGTCAGCAGCAGAGATGGGTGGAAGGAGGTGAATGAAGACATGTTTAGGTACCAGAGACAGCCAAGTTTTCTGACTTGCTACACGTAACAGAGTGATCAAAGACAGTACGGGTTCCTCAGTGGGGTCATGGGGTGATGGATGGTGCCTTCCACCACGTCTCAGCTGAGGGCAATGCAGAGGGCTACATTCAGCTCAAACGTGTCGTGTCGGAAGAGGGACATGCAGCTGGAGGTGTCTGGCAGCTTAAGGGATCGGGTCTGGAGTCCATGAGTAGATACAGACTTGCAAGGCCTAGGAGCCTGCAGGACAGTGACGCCGGGAAGAAGTAAAAGATCCCTTAGGAAAGAGAATTCAAGGTGACAGAGAAGTGGAAGAAGACCCAAATGGAAGCAGGTCAGAGAAATCCAAGGGAAGAAGATTCCAAAGGGGGGGATCACAGTCAAAAGACTCAAGAGGGTTCTGTCTGGCGACATCGGAGTGCCCATAGTGCAAGAAGGAGCTCCAGGCACACGGTCATGCTTAATAGAGTACTTCCTAAGTGAAGAAGCTAGGAGAAGTTTGGCTGAAAATTTGTGAAGGGAGAAAAAGAAAACAGACTCGGATGTTTGGGTAAAGGATTTCTTTTTCTTTCAGATAGAAGAACCAGGATTTCTCTAAGGAATAAGTTTATTCTATACGGAAACAAAATTCAAGTGAAATTAATTTTACAATGGAATTCATTTCATTTTTCCCCATTTGGGGCACATACTAGGATTTCAAAAAATAGCTAATTTTCCCAATATCCAGCCAGTTCAGGGCAACACACATGTACTAATTTTAATCGATTCCAGTTACCATGGTAGTAGACAAGTGATTAACATAGCCTAATGAAAACCAATTTCATTTTATCAGCTTTTCCCGGGCCAGCAGGTCTCCTTATAACCCAAAACCATGGACACTCCGATCTTCACTATACAGGACCCCTTGGAGTGTGATTATACTGTTTGAAATTTTCTCCCTCCCACTCTAGAGAGGTTATGGCTGAAAACTGAAAAAGACCCAAAGAGCAATTGGTAAGGGAGAGACACGCACAGACTCCTGCTGGAGGCCACGACAGGGGCGTTTCTCCCCACAGGAGGTGATACCTGACCTGAGTCTTCAAGGGGGATCAGGAACAAGCCAGGCGGACACGGAAGAGGCACATCAGTCACAGCCCTAACCGCCCAGACCAGGAGCCCAGGCAGGAGGGCCAGGAGAGCATGGTGCATGGGAGCAGCCCCAATCTAAGTGACAACGCTCACCACCGTATTTCTCGAGATCTGAGCATTGACGATCGCTGTCGATGCCAAACGAGGCTACGTGTCCTTTCCTGACATAGTAACTAAAGCCAGTAAAGAGGATTTCCTTCCTCTCCCAGAGCCCAGATGACCAGCTAGAATGTCTTGCATCTACTGGATTGTTCGTGCTTGTGTCTGACTGTCCACGGTCAGGGTATAGCATTCACAGCCCTGTCTTGCTTCTAGGAAAGCCTCAAGGATCTTCTAAGAGTTCCAGGGCCAGCAGGTGGTATCATAGTTAAGGCACTGGTCTCTGAAATCACTGACTGCAGTTCAAGTCCCGGAGCCAGTGGGCTTGAAAATCACCCCGGATGCCTATGTGTGCGTGACAAACATCCCGAGAGGAGAATGGAGAGAGGGGATCGTGGCGTGGCCATCCTCCCTGGAGGGGTGACTTCTCACTTTCCCTCAAAAAGACCCAAAGAGCAATTGGTAAGGGAGAGACACGCACAGACTCCTGCTGGAGGCCACGACAGGGGCGTTTCTCCCCACAGGAGGTGATACCTGACCTGAGTCTTCAAGGGGGATCAGGAACAAGCCAGGCGGACACGGAAGAGGCACATCAGTCACAGCCCTAACCGCCCAGACCAGGAGCCCAGGCAGGAGGGCCAGGAGAGCATGGTGCATGGGAGCAGCCCCAATCTAAGTGACAACGCTCACCACCGTATTTCTCGAGATCTGAGCATTGACGATCGCTGTCGATGCCAAACGAGGCTACGTGTCCTTTCCTGACATAGTAACTAAAGCCAGTAAAGAGGATTTCCTTCCTCTCCCAGAGCCCAGATGACCAGCTAGAATGTCTTGCATCTACTGGATTGTTCGTGCTTGTGTCTGACTGTCCACGGTCAGGGTATAGCATTCACAGCCCTGTCTTGCTTCTAGGAAAGCCTCAAGGATCTTCTAAGAGTTCCAGGGCCAGCAGGTGGTATCATAGTTAAGGCACTGGTCTCTGAAATCACTGACTGCAGTTCAAGTCCCGGAGCCAGTGGGCTTGAAAATCACCCCGGATGCCTATGTGTGCGTGACAAACATCCCGAGAGGAGAATGGAGAGAGGGGATCGTGGCGTGGCCATCCTCCCTGGAGGGGTGACTTCTCACTTTCCCTCTCTC